CGCGTTCAGCAGACTCAACTGTTGTGGAGCGGATCCGTGAGCGCTCACTGCTATTGGTGTATTCTTTTAGATCATCCAATAGCAGCGAGAGCTCATTGATCCGCTCCGCAACAGTTGAGTCTGCTGAACGCGACCAATGCTTCGAAGCGTTTGTAACGTTAAATGGATCGCAGCCTTAATCTGTTGCAAGTATATTGTAGATGTATACCATCCATCGGTTTAATTATTTAACTTCATTTCTCTCTAGTTATCGGATGATAGATAATACAGAAATCTAATGAAAAATGGTAATAGACATTATTAAATAACAGAGATACATTTTTTGTTATTTCTAATATAAATGTTATTTCCGTAAAATGTAAGAGATATAAAATAAGTTTGGCGAATACCTTCTCATTGCACGCGATATTCAATGGCGTTTTGACGATGATAGTCTCGTATCAATTTAATCGCCTAAAAGTCTTTTTTTATGTGAATAATCTCAAATCTAGCAGTCAACAGATCGTCTACTTATAATGGTGAGAAAAAATCCAAATGTGTAAATTGCTATCTTGTTTTTTTTTATCACACATCTATACCATACTCCGGATTTTGTAAGCGCGTGTGAGAAATGTTTGTTTATAATGAATAATATATATTTCGAAGTCTCAAATGTTCTTAAAATTTTTTATTGAGCTTTATCTTTCCTATAATACTTTCCCTAAATATAATATTGTCGAATCTTGCTTCTATAAGGTTTGTATGAATATCTCTTTGTAGTCTGTTGCTGAATTTTTAAAAGGCCTTCCATCACATGATGAAAACAATTTTGCAAATTTTCATACTGATAATGGAAATCGTACATGTGTCAAGAGGCCATCAGTTTATCTTCCTACTAAGGATTACCCTTCCGAACAAAGTAAGTATATATTATAGTATACGGATGATATTTTAGTGTATTAATTAATTTCTTTTATCTTTACAGTCATAGTTACTGAGAAGACCACCATTTTATTGAGGTATCTTCATCAACAATGGGATAAGAAGGTAAAGAGCAGTTAGAACATACACTCAACAGCAAAATTAAAGCATCACCTATTTTACTCCCTCAAAATAGACAAATTTCAAGACAGTATAACTTCGTCATAAAACATCGTATCGAGATGCTTAAAACAGCATTTTACAGCTTGAAATCTCTACTTTCGCGAACGGTAATTGAGATTTTGATTTGACTGACATTTTACGGAGCTATATGGATACAAATGGAAATTCGTCAAATCTAAAAATTTTGAACGAACTTTATAAAGTTCCATGGTCTGAATTAAAAATAGGAAACAAATTTTGTTTACAACTTTCGAAAGAGTGAATCTTTACCTTTAATTTACTTTTTTATGAAGCTTTGTACGATTTTTTTTCGCCGAGTTATTCAACATTGAAGTAAAAAGGGTTGTTTTACTTCAATGTTGAATAACTCTGTGAAAAAAGATTGTACAATGCTCAATAAAAAACCAAATTAGAGGTAAAGATTCACGCATTTGAAAGATGTAAACCAAATTTTTATGTGATTTTTAATTCATACCCTGGAACTTTGTACATTTGTAAAGGATCATCAAATTTTTGCTAAAAAGATTGTCGATATTTGAACTGTGGTAATTTTTTAAAAAAAAATTCGTAAAATAATCTCTATGAGCTCTTCTCTTCATTTTTAAGAGAAAAGACTACTTTTAATTTTCAAAATTGATTTTATTCTCTATTTTGGGGCGGTAAAATAGTTGATGCTTTAATTTTGCTGTTGAGTGTACATATACTATATTTACATATATATACATATACATATATATATATATATATACTGCTGCAAAATGATAAGACATTATGAAAATTTTTAGGATACAAATTTGCGCATATGTTAAGGAGGTTGTAAGGCAAATGCAATATGTTAAGAATTGAAAAAATTACAGAATATTCTAAATTGCATTTAAAAATAATAGAAAAAATTGAGATGCAGACATTAATTGTTCAGTAAATAAACAAAATATTTATTTGTTATAAACTAATTGGTGAATCTCAATGAAACTTTGCATAAATCATGTTTTAGCATTTAATATATTTATATAAAAAAATTTAGATTTTTATTATTATTTAAAAAATTTTTATTTATAATAATAAAACTAATAACAAATAAAATAAATACTCTATAAAAACGTGTCGCTCAATAAAAACAGAATGTTATGAATACAACTTTCACATGTATGTAGTTTGTTTAAAGCGTAAATATGTGTTTTTTTGCCCTTACAACCTCCTTAAGCAGTATAATGTAATAAATAGAAATATCATTATCTTAAATAACTTTCATGTAAAATAAACGGATAGTAGGTAAAATCAATTTTTAATTTGGAAAAAATGATGAATTCTGAATTGAGCAAAATTATGAAATTCTTTCCTTGAAAAACAAAAAACATTGTAATTAAATAAAACTAGTATTCTTTTCATATCAATAATGAATAAATCTGCCTTTATTGTAAAAAAAGTTACCTTAATCCTTTTATTAGATAAACTTATATTTAGCTTGTTAAAAAATTTTAATCCTCAGGACTGTATGATACATAAAATTGTGATTTTCATTTTGTTAAGATCATTGTTGCTTTCCATTTTGTATATAATTAATAAGTTTTTTCAAATGCATTTTCTATAAGATTTAAGCATATATCTTAGCTTTAAAATAATTTACAGTATGACTGTCTGTATTATTGTGCTTAAATATGTAATTTTTTCCATTACTGTTTTGGAAATAATTCTATAATTAATATATTTCAAGTATTATTAAATTTCAGCAATCCGTTCATAGAGTTTCAAACTTTTTACCATATTGACAAATCAAAATTTTTTCTTTTTAAACACTATGAAAATACTATTTTCAATCATTAGAACTATTTAAATTTATATTTTTTTTATTAATGAATATGATATATCTGTATATTCTTTTTGTTTATGAAGATAATAGAATAAACCAATAATGTACTTTATGATTTCATTATTTTATAAATTAATTTTCCTTAAATTTACATGTAGAAAGTTCTAAATAATATCAACATTTTATTTTTGTTTTAAATCCTTTCTTTTCATTTTGGAAATCAATATCCAAGACAAAATTTTCCTAGTTTTTCTCTATTAGTTGTCTTCTTTTCCTTCATTTATATAATATTAGACACAAAGGCATTCACGAGGTAGCAAGGTGCCTCATTTGATTCAACAGTATATTAATAATTAATAATATTACACACACACACACACACACACACACACACACACGCACGCACGCACGCGCACACACACACATTGCTAAACATTTTTATTATATAACTTTTTGCGGATATTTTTAATCATAAATATGAAACTGTATAGAATGCAGATAGAAAGAGAGAATTCTTGTCTACCAATGGTGACTCCCAGGATGATGCATCTACAGTACGCAGTAAAAGGCCACGTCTCGATCTGAATAACAGTCTTTAAAATATGTTACTTTTTCATATGGAAATATTGGATAATTAATGATTTATACACGATATATATTAATTAATTATTCATAACGGATATGTTGATAGTACAAGGATACATCATTGTTTAAATTTACAAAAGTAAAATATGTCATTTTTGACAATATTTTTTAGTAAATTAATATTTTTCTTTATTCTGATTTTATTAAAAAATTTAAAAGAATACAAAATATGATAAAACGATGTGCTTCATACGTTTATATCGTGATATATTTTTAATATCCACTCTTTTACGCCATCTAAATTGTTATCATTATGTTAAATATTACTTCACATAGAAATTGTAATTGAAACAGCAATTGTACTATATTTAAATACTGCTTATATTTTTTCCTTCAAAGAAATTATTTATTATTTTTCTTCATATAAATTATTTATTAGAAAAGTGAAACTTATTTAAAAGAGATAACATGTTTGTGTGTACAAGACAAGTCATTATTATTTCAAATTTTTAAAGCATTTATCTCGTTTTAAGAAAATCTTATAAATTTTTTACACATTATTTATTATATTATTTGATCTATTGCCAACTAAATTATATAATTAGTTATAATTAGTTATCAATAATAAATATAATTGTATTAATGGAATTAATATTTCAAATAAATTATTTGTATGTATAAGTTACACAGATATTATTTCGTGTGTTGCAATAAAAATTTGAAAGCTCTCTATAATAAAGTATCATATCTCTTGTTATTGGCCAATATTCATGGTTTGTTCTTACTTTTAAGACATCTTAAATATTTTTTTTGCAATTAGTTTACATCTTAAGATTGTACTTAAGACAGTTTTAAATATAAGAATTCAACTCTAAATATCGGCCATTGAGCATTATATTACAAATGTATTATTTATTATATTTTATTATAGTTGCGATATATGCAGGGAATGGAAAGTTACTATTTAAAATTAACAAGTTACAGCTTAGAACATATATTACTGGAAGAGGAATAGGGCGCTGAACGTGAAGCCAACATCTGTGCAAGAGAGAAAGCTATAGAGTCCTAAATGTTCGCAATGCGCATGAGCAGTACCGTCATCTGTGTGAATTGTACAGTTGGTTTAGTGTTTCTTAAGGCCATCACACGTACAAAAATTTTAGTTGGAATCGTAAGGTCACAAGCAAATCGACCAATCACAATCAAAATTACGATCTCGCGTTTTAAAACGCTCGACTGTGATTGGCCGATTTGCTTACAGCCTTACGATTACGACTAAAATTTTTGTACATACGTGTGATGGCGTTTATGCGTCGTCTACAAGCAGTATCAGTAATGGATGAGGCTGTAAGAGTAAGAAATTGACCAATCACAATTGAATGTAAGAAGGATAATCGACTGTGATTGGTCAATTTCTTAGGGTGCCGTCACATGTACACGGAATCGGAACGACGGAACGGATTTCTTACTAGAAAATTTGAGATCACTACAATTCCGTTCCGTAAGAAGTTTCTCTACCCGTCCCATGTAGCCGGAATGGAATGAAAATGGACGGAATGTCGCCTCGGTCGCAAGTTAATTTGCCTAATTTAATCGATATTTCTTTATTTTAATGCGACTAAAGCAGTAATGCATAATTTGTGCAATTATCTTATTTATAACATTACTTTGAATACTTAAAAATACTGAATTATAAGAGTGAGATATATTATGTTACCAAAATTCCATTGCGTTCCGGCTACATGGGACGGGTAGAGAAACTTCTTACGGAACGGAATGGTATGTTCACCTCAGATGGTTGAATGTGAAATTAAAACAAATATTCAGAAACCTTTTTTTTGGAGATTACAACGATGGACGAAGAAGTAGTGTTAACTGTAATGTTAAAATTATTGCGAAATGCAAGAAATATGCCAAGTTGGCGTGCTATTCTGATATTTAAGAGAGTACGAAAATTATATTTCGCTTATAATATTTTATTACAAAATAAAAAATATACAAGAAAACGAAAATTTTGGGTACGGCCAATGTTTACACAAAGAATGAGACATCTTCAAGGCGCAAGTGACAATTTAGTCGTTGAAATGCAAACGACCGATCGTGAGAAGTTCTTCAATTACTTTAGAATGACTCCGGAATTATTTGAAGAACTGCTGTCATTAGTTGGACCACTTATTGAGAAGCAAGAATTATGCCGAGTTCCAATTTCATCTCGTACAAGATTGCAACTGGTTTTACGCTGGTTGGCATCTGGTGATAGTATGGCATCTCTTTCATATGCATTTCGTATTGGAGCAAATACAGCTTCTAAAATCATAATCGATGTAACATTCCGTTGATTCCGTTGTACCGTTCCGGCCATAGTTCCGATGGTTCCGATACAGCAGAGAAACTTCTTACCGAACAAAATGCTAGTGAACTTATTTCTAGTAAGAAATCCGTTCCGTCGTTCCGATTCCGTGTACATGTGACGGCACCCTACGACTGTCTTCCTATGGAGAAAGAAATCACGGAACGGAATATTGACAGAAAAGAGATAGGATGAAGATAACCCTCATTCTATCTCTTTTCTGTCAATATTAGCCCCGAATAGCAGTTTTAAGCGTTAAGCCATAAGAAATGGACGAATCATAGTCGATTATTCCCTTCGAATTCGATTACCCCGGATCTACAATAGAGTTTTAAGCCTTAAGCTATAAGAAATGGACGAATCATAGTTAATTATTCTTCTCGAATTCGACTGTAATTGGTCAGTTTCTTACGACTTAAGGCTTAAAACACCTATTGTAGATCCGGAGTTACTAATTATTATATACATATATATATATAATATTACATTACCTTTTCGCGTTCCAAATTTGTCAACTCGAGTAACGTACTCTGACTTACTTTTTCCCCCACTACTCCGGGTTCTTTTAGAGTTACTCGGAGTGAATTTTGGAACGCACCCCTGAAAGCCGGCATTCACATTGGGCGTATTTCGCGGAAGATTAGAGAAATGCGGAACTAATGTAACCAATTGCTGATTAAAATTTCTGTTGTACACTCTAACAGAAATACTAAAAAAGTACGCCTCATTTTCGTCTAAGTGGGTTGATTTGTGGCGGGGGGTTGGGCACATCGAAAAGCGTTGGGACTGCATTCGGTTTAAGTTTTCTCCAGCCATCAATGCGGTGGGCTTCGAATTGGGAATCTTCAAAATGTACCTTGAAACAAACAAAAAAATATTATTAGCGTTGAGTATTAGGCCATTGTGTGATATGATAAAAAAAAATTATATCCTTATTTTGATACTTACCTCACACAATCACGAAGAGGTGGTCGGTGTCCACTTATCTCGTCGCATATTGTCAACCCATTTTGTCCCACGTTTACCCTTCGAGAACGAGAAGGACCTATAATCCTTGTCAACCCGATTACTGCAATTAACTGCGGCACAGCCAGGCATTTTTTAAATGCGAATACTTATGCCCTTATATGATTTATTTCTGCAATAAAAAAATACGTCTTGAGGGTTATCTTTCTGAGACATAAATATTTGCAGATAAAAAGAACAAATTTCTATTCTGACACAGAAATTAATTATTTTCGTGTTTGTGTGAATGTCTTTTTTTT